GGAGAGAGAGAGAGAGAGAGAGAGAGAGAGAGAGAGAGAGAGAGAGAGAGAGAGATGTATTATGGTCTTTAAATGTTTGAAAGTAAACACGAAAGAGTTTCGATTTCTGATTTCGGGGGCTAAAAGAATTGCGAGTTTGATTTAAGGGGTTTTGGGAGCTTTGAAAAAGTCTAGGATGCGATGCGAATACTTGTGGTTATTTTGAGGGCGGGAAGCAATTTCCCCTTATCTATTAAAAGCTCAGGTTTGAATCTGAATATCTACGTGTTCAATTTTAATAGCGCACAAATACGAATGGTAAACAACGGATGGGGTCCCCACTGTTCAACTTATCGGATAAATCCTCATATTCCGGGATCTGCGATAGATTCACGGGCTACAGAGCTGATCACGGGATACATCTAATAAACAAAAATTGACCTTAAAAAAATAAAAAAAAATAAAAAAATGACGCCAAAGCCATCGCTCCCTCTGATCGACCTCTCCTCCCCCGATCGCGCCTCCACCGCGAAATCAATCCGCGAGGTTTCTCCCTCAAATCCTAATTCTCTTTTCTTGCCATTTATTCGGTAAATTTTTTTTTTTGACAATTTTTATTTTCAAATTTTAGGCATGTTTGGAACACGGGTTCTTCTACCTAATAAACCACGGAATCGAAAAGGAAACCCTAGACCGAGTGTTTGCGGAGAGCAAGAAGTTCTTCTCGCTGCCACTCGACGAGAAGATGAAGCTCGAGCACAGCAAGGATCACACTGGCTACACTCCCATGTGCTCCGAGACCCTCGATCCTTCTACCGAGTTTAAAGGTCCCATTGCTTTTTGATCTGGTGCTGAGTTTTTCATCTATATGTTGATGATTCTTTGTTGCCGGCTCTTTGAATTGCGTGTCGCACGTATATATGTACTAGTTGTTTTAGGCTATGTTTGGTTTGAGGGAAATTGAGAGAAAAGAAAAGGAAAAAGAAAGTGGAAAGAAAGGAAAAGAAAAAGAAAGGAAAATAAAATTCTTTTTGTTGTTTGGTTAGTTAGAAAATTGTAAAGAAAATTGGAAGGAAAATGATAGGAAAAATCATTTCTTTTGCTTGGTTACTCTTTTTTATGAAAATCAAGTAGAAAATAGAAGCCAAGGTACATTACACCACAAATCTTATTTATTGAAATATATGAACTGTATTTTAAGTAATTTAGGATATAATTTTTTTAAAAGTTTTCAAACTTTAGATTTCATAAATACTATCAAACTTGATTTTTCATATAAATACCTCAAAATTGCTTCTAATGATAAAGCTTATATAAATAATAATTTAATATTAAAATTCATAATAATTCATAAAAATTCGTGGTAAAGCTTATATAAATAACAAGTTAATACAAAAATACTAAATAATTCATAAAAATCAGCCATACACATTAAAAAACAAAATTACCGAGCATAATATTGCATCACTAGGTTATTTCTACAACTGAAAAACAATTCAACTTTTTTGCTAGACAAAGTAATTAGACAATCCAATCAAACAAAAATTACATTATTTTCATTGCTTTGACAATAACTACTAAAAACAACCAACAAAATTGTAGTTGCAATAGTTGTACAAGCCCAACATTCAACAAGTACTTTCAGTTCAACTTTGTGTTCCCGACTAGTCCAAGGTCCTAACTAAAAAAGGCAAAACAAAAAGTGAACATCAAGAAATATGCTCAGAATATTTGATTCATTCAAATATTCCTACAAAGCAATAACATCAATATTTCTTCCTGACTTCAATCAAAGGCTTCAGATCTCATCTGCTTCTCTCCCTAAAGGAGAAAAAAGAAAATATTGAGTTACATTCAAATTTAAATGGACATGGAGTCAAAAAAGATTAATCGGTAAGTACCATGAACTAAGAACAAGCTTGTAGAAAATCATATTGCATTGATTCAAAACTAAGACAATGTCAATGAGAATAGCAAATTGATACAATGTATATCCAAGTAGATAAGATGGAGTGAATCATGTAGGATAAGTAACATTGAATGCATGTGGTCTAAACTAATATTGAAACATGAAACATGTATCTTCTAAACTAATATTAAAACATGAAACATGTATCTTCGATTACAAAGCAACGGGTCAACAAGAAGAATTGTGAAGAGCATACTACGTTACAACTGAGGGATGTTGTATCACTTGGTATTGTTCTACTCTTCAAGCTTAGCGTAAAAATTGTTACAATGAAACAGAGCCAATTCCAGAGTTAGGGTATACAGCCAGAGGAAATGATTACAGGCTTCTTCACAAAGCTGAGGATGCAATTGAAGGTCTAAAGGAAAGAGGAGTGAATGTGCAAATGCTTAATATTACTCAAGTAGAACACTCCGCTCTAAACAGCATGACCATGTCTAAAGGAAAGAGGAGTGAATGTGCAAATGCTTAAATACCATCACTACCCCCTTCGCACGACCCCGAACGCCCGCATGGTGACTCAGAGAACAGATATATAAACATTAACACGCACATGTACAGAATATATAGGAAAATAGGGACGAAGACATGTGATAACGTCTTTTTTAAGTGCACATAACAATAACAATCAGTTTAATAGCAACTTCACTGATAAACTGTCACATTTGGATGTATGCATCAAAAGCCATACTAATCAACCGTCTTCCTCCAATATCTCCCTTATGAAATGATTTTCTATACAAGCCTCTACAATATTTTTCACTCATCAATCGTTTTCAAGCAGCATTTCCACCTTCAGCCTGGCAACCAACTAAATACTCCAAATCCATATTTAATAAGAAGGCGACGACCATCCAAGTTCACCCATCGAACCAAAATCACTCACAATCTATTTTGATAAAAGCATGCAAAGGTTAAGGATTAGAAGTAAGTGATATTAACAGAACGTTACAAAATTGTCACACACTGCTTACATTGATTGATTACAGAATTCATACCTATAAATCTATAATAACACACGTTATGAGTTATGAAGATGAAATCCCTGACTGCACATTGCAAATTAGGATTCAAGGACTGATTATAAAATCCTGGCTTCGCCACTGATTATCCAAATTAACAATTAGCAGTAGAACTATAATCTTTCTGCATAAATAAAATTGAACAAACAATCCAAATACAGTTGGTCACATATGAAAGCATTAAAAATGGAATTTTCTCAACCTGGATTCTCTTTCTCTTCTGATTATTTGTATTCCAAGAAGAAGAAGACGGGCCCGATAGCTCAATTATATCGAGATCCTCGTCCAGATAAGACGAGCTCCCAGTAAACAGACGAGGCCTGCATCAAATGGAGGCCGTCAGAAATAACGAAATCAAGAACTAAATTTAAAAAAAAAACCTAATCGATCGTCAATTCTCTCACTTGCTGCTCTGAGCGGCGAGCTTCGCTGCCGGCGACGGCTCCATCAAGATCAGCAAGAAAGCGAGCAGCGAAGATCGGCAATCAGTTGGGTTCTAGGGTTTCAATGAGATTCGGTCGTTGAATTTCTAACGAAAATTGGGGAAATTATTTGGGGAAAATGAGAGAGACTACCTTTGGCGTTGTCGCTTCAAAAGCTCACCCTCGGATCTCAAGTTGACGAGATCCGAAGCTCACCCTCGTATCTCAAGCTGACGAGAGCTCGAATGGAGAAACCCTAGCTTTGTAGCCCTAGATTTGGGAAGAGAGAGAAAGAGAATGAGGGGGGAGAGAGAGATGGGAGATTGATCGGAGTTTTGGAGAGAGAGGGAGGTGAGAGATCGGGAAAGTCGGAGGCATCGATTCCGTCTCTCTCCCTCGTTTTCACCTGGGCAGCGGAGAGAAAGGGGGACAGAAAAGATATGTATGGATTTTTCTTCAGCGAAAATTATTTTCATTTTCTTTTTTGTTTTCTTTCAAACCAAACACTAGAAATTCACTTTCTCTTCTATTTTACTTTTCTTTTCTCTCCCTTTCCCTCAAACCAAACATAGCCTTAAGGTAGGGGTGGAAACGGGTCGAATTTGATCGAACACCTTTAAATTCGAATTTGAATGTGGCTTACTCCGGCGAATTCGAATTCGAATTTGAATTTGTGTCGAAAGGGTAGAAGGTGTTCAAATTCGGTTCGGTATATTGACTTGATATTCGATGAATATTCATGAATATTTGTTAGCACACTTGTCTAAGGCATCTGATTCTTAACCTTGAGGCCAGGTGTTCAAATCTTGCATAATTACGTAATGATTATTATGATACTCTACTAAAATTATTAAATTCATATATCAACAGTAATATTAACATAAAATTGGTATAATTCTATGTTACACGGGTACTTCTATCACGAAGCCGTACCTGTAACTGACACTTACCCGTACCCAAACCTCATGGACACTCCTTGGATATATGCATACATTTATACAGACATTTACTCAATTATATGACATATATTTTGATTTAAAACACTTGTACACTTCATGGACACTAGTTTTTACACACGTGCAATGCACGTGATTTAATACCATGATTAAGTATTTTTGGCAGTTTGTGCTCACTTTTGTCTTTAAACTCTTACATCCCGATTATTTTTTTTATGTTTGTTTAAATGGGATACACCCAATTTAAATTTTCATGTTGATATTTGAATTGAAAAAAACAAATATAATTTAAAAATAATTTGAATTTTCATATTATTTTTGACCGATAGAAACTAAGCTTTATTTGAGAAAGTACAGCGTTGCAAAGTGAAAAATATTAAAATAGTGTTATACAAGAAAGGTGAATATTTAAAACCAATATGTCAAAATGGTTGATTTAAAGTATGTTAAAACGATACAAAAGAGAATATGAAGTTTATTCCTAATCATTGATAGACTTCATAAAAAAATATAAATTAAAGATTAATGCTATCTCTAGTATACTTTTATATGATAAAAACATACACATAAGAATATAAAAGTACTGTAAAAAATTCATGAAATTCCCTTCTAAAGATTCCTAATTTCACTCAAAATAATTAAACTATTCTATAAAATATTCAAAAAATATTGTTTTTTATTTCTTCTATTTTATTTTTTTATTGATTTAAGATCAATCCTTCTTCAAGTTTATCATTTATCATTTCTCGGGCAATTTTAGAGTAGTGTCTTCATCATCTACATCAATTGTGACATAAGGCTAAATTTATATTTTTTATGTCGTTATCTTTCCTGGGCTCGTTAATTTTTTATCATCTCATTTAACTTCACAAAGAAGTCAAATGTACTTATGATGTTCAACACAAACTACTCAAAATAAAGACTTTGATTTTTTTTTCTATTTCAATGAGAATAAATATTAGTTTTATATATATAAAATTCTTTGTGTTCCTAATTTATTACTTAAATAAATTAGAAGCTATCTCTTTATTTTCCTCTAAAATGGATTCTTCTGATATGCATCCAATAAGAATTTCTGTTATTTCAATAATATTACCTTTGCTCTATCCCTGTTATTTTCCATAAAGATCTAAACTAAATACCTGCATTATTCATTACCAATTTCTCTTAGATTATAATATTAATATATAATTTGAAGAATACAGTATGGAACTTATGAATACTTACTAATTTTTCTTATGTCTTCCATGGAGATTTTTTCTTTGATTAGGATAAAGTTATTAAATTATTTTTTAATGTAACTCATTCAGTGCTTCACTAATAGATGTCTTATGTTAATGCCAATTCAAGTGATTCATTGATGTTTTTTAAATTTTAGATTTATTTCCATCACTTTCTCATTTGCAATGGAAATAGCTCAATTCTTTTAAAGTTGTCTCTAAATATTCTAATAGTTTCTCTATATGTAATTCCTTGTATTCTTTTATCCTATAAATATTATTAACGTTAAAGATTAAAGTTTCTAAATTAAAATCAATTAATGCTAAGGTATAATATTATAGTGTTTTATCATTTCTATGGATTTAAACATCTATCAATTAATGTTACGAATGTATTTTGGCTACCCCAACTTATTACTAAAATTATATGAAATTACTTTAATTTATATAGTGATATATATAAATGAAAAATACCAAACAATTACACTTTTCTTTGCCAAGTTTTAAAATTTTAGCCCATTTTTATGGTTTTGAACTTTGAGGGTGTGATTTATAATTTTTAAAACTTTGAAAGAGTTTTTAAAAAAATTTACTTTTACACCTTGTTTGGGAATACTTAGGAGGTGAAGTTAATTCACCTCCATTCACCTTGGTTCACCCCCTAATAGTATAAAAATTGTTACCCCCCAAATTGGGGTGTAACCAAGGGGAAGAGAATTCCCTTCCCTTCCCTTCACTTCACTTCACTCAGTTTCCCTTAACTTCCCTTCACCCCCTGCGAATCCAAACAGGCCCTTAAGTTTGGTAGTTGTAAATTTTATGTTTTCTGTGTTGGTGGTAATTTTTTAAATGTTAGTATATTTCTTGTAACTCTAAAGTTTTGAGGGTGTCTTTTGTAATTATTAAAACTATAGATTAATTTTGAAAATATTAAATTTCAGAGGCTACCAATCGACGAATTTGATGTGTGCTAGTTAAAAATTTAGAGTTTTTTTACGATTTTTAAATTTTGAAGGAGTTTTTTATATTTTTTAAAAATTTGAGGTTAATTTCGGCAAATTTTAATTTTTTTAGGTGTCCAAGGGTAATATCTTGAATTCATCTTATATTATTTATAAATTTTAAAATTTTAGAATTTTAGGATGGATTTTTATAATTTGAACTTTTGAATGTGTTTCTATAAATTTTGAGATATTGAGGGTGTTAATTAAAAAATTTAAATTCTTTAGAGGCTGCTATTAAAATTTTTAATTTTATATTTGTTATTTTAAGTTTTAAAATGTTAAAAATTTTAGGTGTATCATGGTAATCTCTTGAATTCATCAGTGTTGTTTGTAAGTTTTAAAATTTTAGAATTTTAATGTGCTTGTCTGTAATTTAAACTTTTGAGCGTGTTTCTATAATTTTTTAGACATTGAGGTGTTAACTGTAAATTTTAAATTCCTTGCAAACTGATGTTAATTTTTTAATTTTATGTTTTTTATTTTAAGTTTTGAGACATCGGGATGATTTTTATAATTTTGAACTTTTCAGGTTCTTTTCTGCAAGGGTGTGATTTATAATTTTTAAAATTTTGAAAGAGTTTTTAAAAAAATTTACTTTTAAGTTTGGTAGTTTTAAATTCTATGTTTCATGCGTTGGTGGTAATTTTTTAAATGTTAATATATTTCTTGTAACTCTAAAGTTTTGAGGGTGTCTTTTGTAATTATTAAAACTATAGATTAATTTTAAAAATATTAAATTTTAGCGGTCTACCAATCGACGAATTTGATGTGTGCTAGTTAAAAATTTTGGAAATTTAGAGTTTTTTTACGATTTTTAAATTTTGAAGGAGTTTTTTATAATTTTTTAAAATTTTGAGGTTAATTTCGGCAAATTTTAATTTTTTAGGTGTCCAAGGATAATATCTTGAATTCATCTTATATTATTTACAAATTTTAAAATTTTAGAATTTTAGGATGGCTTTTTATAATTTGAACTTTTGAAGGTGTTTCTATAATTTTTGAGATATTGAGGGTGTTAATTAAAAAATTTAAATTCTTCAGAGGTTGCTATTAATTTTTTTTAATTTTATATTTAGTATTTTAAGTTTTAAAATGTCAAAAATTTTAGGTGTATCATAGTAATCTCTTGAATTCATCTGTGTTGTTTGTAAGTTTTAAAATTTTAAAATTTTAATGTGCTTGTCTGTAATTTAAACTTTTGAGGGTGTTTCTATAATTTTTGAGACATTGAGGTGTTAACTGTAAATTTTAAATTCTTTGCAAACTGATGTTAATTTTTTAATTTCATGTTTTTTATTTTAAGTTTTGAGACATCGGGATGATTTTTATAATTTTGAACTTTTCAAGTTCTTTTCTGTAATTTTAGAACTTTTTATGGTTTTTTTGCAATACTTCATGTATTATAATATGTTATCTACGTGTAATTTCTTTATCTTAACAAACTAATAACATTTTTATATTTTACATATTTTATTAATATTAGTTTTTTTAAATTGTTAAGCTAAACATGGTTCACATAGGATTAGGATAAGATATGATTATGATTAGGATAGATTAAGATATAAATGAAATATTCAAAATAGTAAAGGATAATATTGACCATTGAAAATTAGAATTTGATTATAGATAAGGTAGTTTAAACTATAAAGGGGTATATTTGTCTAAAAAAGATTTTCCGAGCCCAGGAAAGATAATAGCATAAAAAATACAAAATTAGCCTGATGTCACAATTGATGTAGATGATGAAGTCAATACTTTAGAATTGCCCGAGAAATGATAAATGATAAACCTGAAGAAGGATTGATCTTAACTCAATAAAAAATAAAATAGAAGAAATAAAAAATAATATTTTTTGAATATTTTATAGAATAGTTTAATTATTTTGAGTGAAAATAGGAATCTTTAGAAGGGAGTTTCATGAATTTTTTTCAGTACTTTTATACTCTTATGTGGATGTTTTTATCATATAAAACTATACTAAAGTTAGCATTAATCTTTAATTTATATTTTTTATGAAGTCTATCAAATGATTAGGAATAAACTTCGTATTCTCTTTTGCATCGTTTTAACATACTTTAAATCAATCATTTTGCCATATTGATTTTAAATATTCACCTTCCTTGTATAACACTATTTTAATATTTTTTACTTTGCAATACTATACTTTCTCAAATAAAGCTTAGTTTCATATCGGTCAAAAATAATATAAAAATTTAAATTATTTTTAAATTATATTTGTTTTTTGTCAATTCAAATATCAACATGAAAATTTAAATTGGATGTATCCCATTTAAACAAACATAAAAAATAATTAGGATGTAAGAGTTTAAAGAAAAAATAAGCACAAACTGCCAAAAATACTTAATCATGATAT